TGCTTGCACCATCATCTTGTCCAAATATGGTCACATCCGGTGCCTGGTTGCAAAAAATCAACATGGAGGCAGCCAAACAGCCAAACTCGAGACTTCAACGGGTGACATCACGGTGACTACGTCCACTTCTTTTATACAGTCTATGGCTCACACCAAACGTGAGATTTTTGGCCTTGAATTGTGTCTGTCAGGCAACCTACTGACTGTATGCCTTTAAAAAACAGCTATATTTAGATTCAAAAGTGACAATGCAAAACTATCATCTTAAAAAGTTTACTGTTAAATAAATTAGGGATGCACCAAAATGAAAATACTTGGCCTAAGTGGAAACCGAATATAATGAAAAAATTTGGTGAATCCCAAACAAGTACATTCACATTTTAGCTTTTTTTTTTTTTTTTACCATTGCATAAATTAAATAGTCAAAATGTGCTTTTTCCTCAGTGTTTCCCACAGGATATGGAGAGACTTTGGTGGGTGGGTCCGTACCATACGGACTACTACAGTAAACAGCAGTTTCCCTTCAAAAGAATGTGGACTCTCTTGAGGAGGTGAATCACTGGCCTACACATACACTCAAGGGAATTCTGTTGTTGTGGGTTTGTGCATGTTAGCAGAACTATGGCCGAACCCACCATTGAGATCACTGAGGTCCTGACATCTGTATTTGAACGTGTATAGTATACATTACAAGTCACGGACAAGGTGGATATTTTACAAACACAGACCACGTAAAGCATAGGGATGCAACGATATGAAAATTCTTAGCCGAAGCCGAAACCAAATATAATGAAAAAATTTGCCGAACACCGAACAAGTACATTCTTATTTTTTCCATTTATTTTGTCATTTTTTTTACCATTACATAAAAATAGTCAAAATGTGCTTTTTCCTCAGTGTTTCCCACAGGATTTGGAGAGACTTTGATGGGTGGGTCAGAGGCCCAAAAAGGTCCGGTAAAGTAAATTACATGTGTCCATTTACTGTTAATGTACAAATGTAATATGTTTTATACTTTCTGTGAATATAATCCATTTAATCTTATTTCCACACTGTATAGAAACCTTATTTTGAAAACCAGACGTTGTCACATGTCTATCCTCGCGACCCAGTTTGATAAATAATGTTGTATGTGGTTCTCGTATCGCGTAACATTCAGACTCTCTTCAGTAGGACTCTCATACTGCAACACTTGTCTTTGTAAAGAGAGAAACTGACAGTATAAAGTCGCTAACCTGCCTGCCAGCTCACTCTGGTCTGTTTCAGTTACCATAAAGGCTTGAATACATGTGCACTTCAAATTTAGGTGCGGCTAGCTTAATCACCTTCTCCCAAACGAGTGAGAGAAACACTCAAAGCGGGTCAGATTGTTTGTTGCCTTTTCTAAGAAGTCAGCCATAGATGGAGTGGATGTGCTAGGAGACAGTTCAGTAGGACAGCGTCTGCAAAGGGCCAATTTTTGGTCTTTCTCTGACGCTTTAAAATGTAATTGTTCGGTAAAATTTATTTGGTCTTTTGACTTATTAAGCCAAACACAGAAAGTGCTATTTTCGGGCAATTAATTTTGGTGGCTGAACATTCGGTGAATCCATAAAATCAATAAAAGCAAAGGCTTGACAGTACACTTTAATAAGTCCTAAAACAGACAATTGTCTCTTTAATAGCAATGCTTTATCTGTTGTTTTTGTGATAAAAGTTGAATTTACTACATGGCCTGTCTTGATGTCTACAGTCACACATATGGAGCTGAAATCTTTAGGTGACTAATTATCATGGTATGTGGCCAATACAACAGGTCCAGGCCTGTACATGAAACCAGCTCTGGGGTAACTAACATCATGTTCTCACACAGAAAGGCTGATCAGTGCTGATTAAAAGAAACTATGCCAGGTAATAAACACAGTATTTGAGGAGTTAGTTTGTTGCACACTAAGGCCTTTGAAAATGTTACATTCATGTACAGCAGGATGGCATTAAACTGATGGACACCAGAGAAAATCATGTACCTTTACTAATAAAAATATTTTTCATGGTTACAACTGAGTGAGATTCAACGTGCAGCAGCACTCTGCACTGAAGCTTGAAAAGGAATAAAACACTTTTCTCTACACACCCCACCCATAGGTCAGTGTCAGCTACCAAACTGTACATCAGGGAGTATAACCCAGGCACTTCAGTAAGGCGTGTGTCATGAAGTACAGTCTAATGCTAAAGTCTGACATTTATGCACCAAATTATAAAACTATATAAAATTTGAGGTAAACACTGATTGCACAAGTGGATGAGATTTACATACAGTAGGTAGCTGCTCTAGTGGGCATGTCCTAGAGTTCTGCACGGGCCTAAAAAGGGACATCCAAAGCATATAAAAGCCACTTTAAGATCCGACTCTCTCAGCCAAGACTCGACCCAGCTTAAGGGAAAGCTATATTTTTGCTTCATCCAGAACTGGTTGTTAACTTGCAAAGCTAATGCAACCCACTGACTACACTCTATCTCTTTCTATTGCCACCAAGCATTGCGTACCTACTTGGAACACAGGTCACACATACAGGTAGATGCATCTTACTGACACAGTCAGAGAGATGAAGAGAACATTTTAACTTGAAAATACTAAAACCAAGACCAAGCCCAAGCTTGAAGCTCTAGTAAACAAAAATGGCCCAGACCCAACCTGAAACCCAACACTTTCTGTCTGATAGCAGAATCCCTCTATGTCCAATGGCAAAATGCATCAGCAGGCTACATGTATGGTAAGGGAACACCTAACAGATGGACAACAAGCCTGTGAGGAAAACCTGATGCCAAACTCCATCCTAATCCGATCCATTTCCACCTGGAGTTCTGGTGTTGGCTTGCTTACTTTATCAGCAAAGGTTCTTAAAAGGTTTAAACAAAGCTTAAGACATTTGTGAATCATTAAGAGCCACTGCTCATTTAGACAAACAGATGATCCACAAGGCAGCATTTGTTTCCAATTACCCGTTATCTAAATGTTAGAACTGGTTCACAGTTACTCACTGCCACCCACCATGGTGTATTTTGGTGTCAGGAGGCTGTGGGAAGCCAGTCCATTGTAAATGAAACTTTATGAGCGTTATAACATTAACAGTGCAGTTAGGCGTAGTGGATGCATGGCCAAATTAAACAACAGGTACCTTTGTGTTTGAAATTGTTATTATAAGAAGGCGTGTTGGATCAATGTTTCTGATGGCTTCATGTTTACTCTACCTGCCTGTAAATAACAGTGAGTTGCAAGCATGACAGGACAGCAATGCTACTATGGATACTTGTGTGATACTTGTGTCAAGAAGGCGGGCAAAACAGATCCTTGGATAGTAAAACACCTGGACAGAGCATAATTTGATAGCTAAATAGAATATTAACAGCTGCTGTAATACCGCTGTCTATAGTAAAACTAGGCTTGCTTTCCACCAGGGTCTCAAATGTAGAGATTCAGAATTAGTTCTCTCTCCTATAGAGATATGCCAAACTACATCAGGTCAAAATATTAGGATATTTTTTTATGTTCAATAAACAAAGTATTTCCACTCTTCTTGCTAGCTTTTCCTGACATTATGATCCTTGCAAACATTTCATTGACTCGGGGGTTGATGGCAGGTCTATGACACAACCTGTGACATCAAACGAGTTGAAATTAAACGTTACGGAGATTAAATTCATACCTTTACAGTGTTATAGAGTGTGTTGATGTGCAACCTTAAAGTTATGTTTGCATAGTAAGCAAAATAAATTTCAATCCACCGCACATGTCTTGCATCCTTCAAAGAGAACTCAGTCGACTCAGCAGCACAAACAGCACACAGTCTCCACAAAGGCTTCTTCACAAATGTATTATTATTATGCAGTAAGTTATTTATTAACATAGAACTTCAGTTCATTTGTAAGCGATCATCAACTGTGGGAGTGCAAAAAGTGGCACACAGATGATATTGATGATACTCCTAAATCATAATGTATTCTCACAATGAAGTACAAAATAATGAAATGAAACGTGGTCATAAGCCATATGACTACTAAAGAAAGACTTTTTATTTCATTTCACTTATTTTTATTTCCAGGCTGCGACCAGATCAGGAATAATGCAGCATTAAGACTTAAGTATTGCAGCACACAGTAGTGCAGATTGTTGGACTTTAAATGAGATTTTTTATTAAATTATACACTATGTTACTATATTATTTTACATTAAAGGGGGAATCTAATCTGATGTGTGCAAGAATTCTTGAATACTGAGTGATTGTCAACATTAAGCATTGGTGAAATTCTTGCAAGACACTTTCTCACGAAACATAAACATAAACACAGAAGACTGCACGCTGAGACGACGTTTTGACCTGACGTAGTGGAGACGTTAAAAACTGCAGGTGGAACGACATCGACGTTCTGACCTAATGTCGGTTCAACTTTCATTTAGACTGAAGCTTTATATTTTTCAAGTTTTCTTCAACGGCGAAATGTTCGCTGGGATATTAGCAGTTTCTCCCACAGATACTAACGTTAGCTTGGGAACAACAGCAACTAACGTTAGGTCGAACATTTGAAATGTTATTAAAGTACTGTGTTGCCAGATGAACAAACACTTTAAATAACAATGCCGAAATATCCATGGCATTTCACTGTTTTGCAAAGGCTCTTTAATGAAGTCAAACGGAGAATGTGTGTTTGCCTGAATGCGAGAACACACTTCATTGTCGGATTTTCTAGCGGACTTTGGTGTGACGCTGTCTCCCTACAGAACGAACTTATCTACCGTTAGATGGGAAAGTAACGTTACACACAACGTTACAGCTTTAAATGCCAAGAAACTACATCTAATTTGGCGCCACAATCCACCACAGTTAAATGTAAGAATTTAAAGTTAGCGTGTTAATGTTTTCTAACCACCTGAATCCTGATTCCGTTTACCGTTAGCAGCAGACACGGTCCACATCCTAACAATTGTTGTTATGAACGAGCAATAACAGGCGGCTCCATACCTGACTGGCTTTATGGAACTGTTTCTTCAGCCCGGCCACAGACATCTTCGACAAACGTGTAACGCTTCACCTCTGGAGAAAATGTTCCGTGAAACACCGAATAAAACTGATAAAATATCTACGTTAAAGAAAGAGCCAAGCGACTCCACTCAGCGCTGCACTCATCAGTCACCGCCGTTCAAGATTGCAGCAAGACCAGAGCTGAGTAAAGTTCCGGCAGCGGAGGCTGACAGAACCGGAAATAGTTTTATAAAAAAATAAAACGCTGAAACGACGTTTATTAGCCTATTTCTAACATTTTATTGCTTTTCATACAAAACGAACAACATCAATAGGGTCAGTCGGGGTGCATTTGTACTCTCAATACTCAAGGTATCTCAGTATTCTTAATACAGTGGTTTTATTTGTGATTGGTGTTCTGACCAGTCCACTTTTCATTTCATTAGTCAATCAACTTCCTGAAATAGGGACACTGCTTGCAGTAACCTACAAATGTAGAAACCTTAAATACCTTGATATAAGGTCCAAAGGCCTGAATGTGTATGTACACATACACTTATCAAATAACATTGTAGTGTTCTTGTGCAAAAAATTGAGAAACCCCTAAAGGCACCACAAACATGGATGTGTTGGATGCTTCTTAGTTCTCTCTTAGCCTATACAATTGTTTTATTTTTCATTAATGTGTTTGACCCTAAATTAATTCTTGATATTAATATTAGGCTGCTTAATACATATACTTAATATTTATTAAATGTAAGAGGACGGTCTGTATACAATGTATTCTTTATTTCACTGCAGAGTGCAGACTAATTTTATATTCATTTATTCTTTTATATTTTCTCATGTATTTTTATAGTCATCAATTTTATTCATTTTCACTTGCTGCCTATAAGGTGTCTACAGGTCGTGTGACAGTTTTAAGTTTTATTTTAAAGTTAAAACAGGAAGTGGAATGTACGTGGTCTTGCTGAACTCACTGAGTGGCGGAGGAGGAGAGGGTTTCCTGAATCGCAGAGATGTCGCCACTTCTCAAACCCCATTGGCTGGCAGCTGCTCGTGCGGAGGAAACCGCGGTGGAGAGAAATGATCACTTCAAAGGCGTCGGAAAATATCTTGACAGCCAGTTTATGTTCTTAACACAAATTTTTCAGACAAGTTTTCAGTGAAGTTAAAATAAAATGTATATATTCACATAGCCTAGATGCTGGATATGTCAGTGAGAGAGAAAGGCTAGGGTGAATTAAGGGTCATTTATTTAGCCTAATATTTCTCAATAGACTTATCCCATATTTTGCTATTGATCTCATTGTGTCTTTCCCCTCTGCTTATATTGTAGATAAAGTACCATATATGTGAGATCTCTAAAATCTTTTGATACCATGGTCCCTGAAGTTCCCACTACTTGTCTGAAGAATATAGGTTATTTAATATTTTTGCAACACATGTCTGCAGTGAATTTATTTCCATTTCTCCACTTGTCTCTCCCCCTTTAACTAGGCTACTCAACCCTGTCTCAGATCCCTCCAGGTGCTTCATGCTCCCCCATGGTGCTTACCAGCCTTAAGGTGGGAATGAAATATCCCCCATCCAATCCACTTTTGTAAAGGACTCCCCACTTTCTCCCCACTCATCACAGAAATCTTAAACTCCTCTTGTGCCTCTGATTCTGTCCCACAACTGCTCAAACTGGCTGCCAGTTTCCCCTGACCCATCTCTAACCTTCTGCTTCCTGTCAAAAACAAGTCAAAGTTGTGTGTGAAACAGAACAGAAACAGCCGTCTTCAAAGTCCAACCACCTCCTCCTCTATGGCTGGGGGATCTCACATGCTCATCCTCCTGGACTTCACTGCTCACCTCCTCTTTTCCAGCTTGAACCCTCCGTCGGGTTAACCGGTAACGCCCCCTGCTGGCCGAAGTCTTATCTCACAGACTGAGAGCGGTTCATCAGCATCAACAAGGACACCTCCTCCACAGCTCCTCTGTCCCAAGTTGTCTCTCAGAGTTCAGTGCCAGTTAACTCTCAAGACGCTCCCCCATGGAAACATCATCTGTCGTCATGGTCTCCACTTCGACTGCTACACTGATGACTTCCAGCTCTAAATCTCTACTAAATCCATTCAACCATCCAACTCAACCCAACTGCCTCACTAAAATGTAATCAAGGATGTAAGCAAACCTTTCTTAAACCTAAACGTGATAAATTCAAAATAATCATTATTGGTCCCAAATCCCTCATCAAAACCACACACAACTTCTACTTCTCCATCCCCACCTGCAGTCTGTCTCCCTCCCTCCTTTTTCTCTTTCGAACACCAGTACCAAAACTCTCTTTTTCCACTTGAAAAACATAGCTCGCCTTCACTGATCCCTCTCCTTTTCTGATCCTTGCTTTCCTCACCTCCTTTCATTTATGGCACATCATCCAAAGTCCTCAATAAACTCCAGTACACCCAGAACCGCTTGCATGCCCACTCATTCTCTCTCCAGTGAGCACATCACCCCCCGTCCTCAGGACCCTTCGCTGGCTCCCTGTCCCACAACGTATTCAATTCAAACTCCTTGTGATTACACTGAAAGCCCTCCAAAACCAGGCCCCCTATCACCTTACCTACCCTCTCCACCGGCACTGTCCTCCTCAACCTCTTGCCCCCACCACCCAAGACCCTCGAACTCTCTGCTGACTGCACCAATCTGTCCGTCTTCAAGAAGTTACTGCTTTTTATGTTTGATTTAATGTTCCTGCGACCTAATATGTATGGGTAAGAAGACATTCTGATGCTTAGCTTGACATGTTGTCAGATTAAATGTTTTATGTTAGAAGCTGCCCACACACTTTGACATTGATTTTACAATTACACATAATTATTTTCTTCATCCCTCAAAGTAAAAGAGGGATCATCCTCCGTGAACAACCTGGTGCATTCTTTTTGACTTTCACACGTTGTTTACAAATCTCTGTGCTGTCTTGGGGATGTTTCATTCTGTTGTTAAAGTTTAAAATTAGGTAAGAATCAAAGCACCTGCCAGTTTTATTTCCTACTGTAATAATGCTTATTGCATTCTGTATATTTATAGGTGATAATTGAAAGCAATGGCTGCAGATGTTTGTCCACAAAAAGGATTTCTTGTGGTTATTGTTGGTTTGTACATCATGGGTCTGAGGCGTGATGTTGTAGATATGTGGATGGCTTTTATTTTGTACTCTGAATGTGTTATTTTATTTAATATCACATGACATTATAATCATCAGTCAACACTTTTCTTTAAAGAATGTATGTGACGCAGTAATGTTAACTAAGAGCACATTAACCTGACCTACCTTTTGCCTTCACCTGAGCAGAGAGTGTATTGGGACCATCCTCCATGGTGATTTTGCACTGTAAATAAATATGATTTGATTTGTAAAAAATGACTTTAGTGCAATTTTAAACTGGAATATTCGAATACAATTCCAATGATGGACAAAGGTGAAAGTCTAAAGCACAATGAAGTTTCGTGCTCAGAAACTGAGAAAATAAGCACTAATGTCAGAGCTAAAACTCGCATGCGCCCTGTTGATTAGAGGATCCAAAACAGATCTTATAAAGACAAAACACCCTGACTGAAAAACAAGCCTCAGGTTATGTGTTGTGCATACGTTGTGAATTGTTTCAGATGGATGTAAGTCTGCATCTAAAACTACCTGTCCAGCTACATTGATAATGCACCAAAACCATGGATTAGACAGAAAGAATTTCATGACTGCTACCCATTAAATGCATCACCTATAATGCGCTCGCTGCCGATGTAGAAAGCTACTGACTTTAGCAATAAAGTGAAATAAACTACAGTTAAAAATAACTTCTGTAAGTACTGTCAAAGAGACACTCAGAGTAAAGTGTATATTTTAGTGTTGTCAGTGTGTGTTTCCAAAGACCAAAAGAATCTGTAATGTGTAGTCATTTTGGCACATATTGTTATTTGGCGAATTGTTCTTAATAATCTTCATGGGTCATGCAGAAGTGTTTATCTAATGCAGGCATAGAAATGGAACAACGTGAATCGCTGCCAGTACACCCTAATTCATTTCCCATTGCCTAATGTAGCAACTATGTTTAAAATCCATGATTTTAATTGGCATTTTCAGAGGTCAAATATGTACTTGAATTCTTAGAGAAAAGGGGAGTTCCAAGCACAAAGGAAGCAGCCCTCCTCTCCTCACAATGGCTCAGACGACGGTAGAGAGAAGGGGGGGCTCCACAGAGAAAACACACACACACAAACACACTCACAAAGTCATGGAGCAGCCTCTTTAATAACACACACAGAAACACATTACTCCTACTAACTGCTCCTTTGGGTTGTTTACGTTCCAAGTCTCTCCTCCATGGGTTATCCTAGGTTGCACAAGGTCTCATACTTTTAGGAAATGGGAGGTGTGTGAACCCAATGGTTCACTACAGGAATTACTGTGGTAAGTCAGTTGTTGGTATATAGGCGCATCGTATGCCTAAAGAACAACAAGGGCAGAGAAACAGTAAAACACGACCCCTGAACGTTCAAACAGACTTTGTCCAAAAATGACAGGGCACGTGGAGAGAATGAATGTGTGCTGACCCCAACCAACATTCTGACAAACATTCACTTACAGGTAATTTCAGACCTGCCAGAGCCTGGAGGAAAAAAAGCCATCCATCCTTATAAACCAAGATTTGTTGGTTTGTGCGTTTTTTTCCTCCAGGCTCTGGCAGGTGTGTGTGTGTATGTCTCTTTATTTCTGTTAGATAGCGAGGTACATACCAAGTGCTGTTAACCACAAGAACCGCCCTGAAGGTGGAAGGAAAGCCAGAATGGATTTATGCCACAAGGTGCAGGAGAGATCTTATCCAGGGAAAAAAGCGGTTGACCCCGTGCAGGCGTGCTGATCTTCCTTGGCACAGGTGAACATTGATACATATCCTAATCTTCTATCAGAGTGCTTGGACTGAAGCACCACTGAAAGTTGAAACAAACCTCACAGAAGAAGACAAAAGGTCTTCACTGGGCATCAGAAGAGAGCCCCACGCTTTGAAGACGTGATTTTTATGATACTTCTAATCTGGCTATGCAAATGATGGTGGGTTAAGGCAGCAACAACACAAATGAACAAACCAATTAATACAAAGCTACGTGAGATACATTTTGTAATGTTTGTAAAAAAAAAAAAAAAGGAGCCAGTGATTACCGACCCTTATACTACCCCCAATACTTTCTAGGTTATCACACACCTCCTTTTCCAGACACACACAAAGAAGCAGTGGAGTTTGTGGTGTCACAGGTTAATCATTACTATTTACCCTCAGGTGTCAACATCTCTGGTGTTCTTAAGCTACTACTTTTTCACACACAGAGAGAAGGAACAGTATAGGTTTACCATTTGGAATTTTTTTCTTTTGCTCTGCCTGTTTAATGTAGATATGCCCTTTTAGGTCTTTTTATTCCACTTCTTGTCCTGTGGAAGTGGCCTAGTGTGCGTCGGTGCATGTGACCTGTGAATGTGTCACACCTGAGAGCACTTTAACCACTTGAGGGTGTTTTTTCAGAAGCCTTTGTTTGGTCGTTCAGGGCGGAACTCATGGGTTACATGAAGATAGATGTTTTTTTGTGGGGGATGATGTTGATGTCATGATCAAAAAAGTGGAACAGCGCTTTAAATCTGGCCTGGAGAACATGTTTGGGCTGCTGTACATGAAATATTTAAGGTGGTCTAGTGTATATTTCTGTCTTTGGAGTGTTTTCTTGTGAACTCCACTCTCGGCTCTTTAACTTGTCTGCTGTTTATTGAAGCTCTAGGATGTTTATGACATATCTAAACAAAAAAAACAACCATGTGAAACATTCTGGTCTGCATGGTCAGTAGTACTGCCACAAGAGGGCAGGGAAGATCTGTGCAGCGTCCATCGGTCCATCAGTTGGAAATCTGTGAACTCCATATGCTGCACCTTCAGGATTGATGCTCCCACTAAGGTTATATTATAGTGCCATATGGATTCTAGTAATATCCACTCCACTTAATCTTTCATTGACAGCTTTTATAGTTTTCCATAGGCATCAGTCAGAGCCTTGTTGGAAGATTTTGCTCTTACATGGGTCTGAGGTCAGGTATGTTCAGTCTTGGAGAGAAGAGACAAAGCCGCAGGGCTGCTGTGTAACTCCTGTGATAAAAGTGGATGAAATTTGGAGCTCCGTAAGGGGAGACAGGGTGGTTGCCATGGGGCATACCTCCACAATCGGTGCCTAGCGCTTACTGTTAGTCATCATGTAACGTAGTAGTATCCCAGCCAGGCTGGCTGCTGATGGTAACACCACAAACCCCGACAGCTGATTAAAGGGATTCTAAAAATAATTTTGGGGGTTAAAAACCCTGTTGTATTACGTTCACAACTGCCAGGTGATGTAATAGAAGTAATTTGGTATAAAATACCAGAGCTTGCACAGTGAATTCCAACTATAGTTCAGCTTTCTAACAGCTACAATTAGAAAAATGTAGTGGAGTCAAAGTATAAAGTAGCATAAAATGGAAACACTCAAGAATTGTACAAGTACCTCAAAATTGTACAGTGGGAAAATGTCTCTGAGCTTAACCAGCCAATTATTAACAATGCTAATATGTATTGTGATTATATTATAAAGTTCATAGCTCCATGAACAAAACCTCTGTGGGTAGTGATGGATCACAACCTTGTGAGCATGTAGACTAAAAACAGTAATTCCTCAGTCAGGCTGAGCCCCTCCCATCCTCCCTCTGCTAGATAAGTGCTGTGAGGCTCCCACTGGTCTGCAGGATCCTCTGTCAGATAAACTCCAGGGCTGAAGGTTACAGTGATCTCTCCCACACGTCCTTCCAGAGAAATCCTCCATGAAGTAACTCTGTTCATCCATCACCCTCTGTCCTACTGGCCTCTCCACAGTTCAGACATTATTCAGTTTTTTAATTACATTTTGTTTGACTAGATTATATAGGACTTAGTTTTGTTAGTACACTATTGTCCCCAGTCTTTGAGCACAATCCACTGCACATACAGTATATTTTTCAAGGTTATGATTTCCCTCATTGTGAGCAAAAGATACTGTTTTGTGAAGACAGGCTAATTGCCTTGTTTGGGTTAATGTGTGTTATATTCTTTTAAGTTTCATCAAGGCACTAACCCCCGAGATCCATGGTTTTAATTTATTCTTGACTCCACATTCATTTCTTGTGGTATTTCTGCACAGCTCTCCGCTGAGATCAGTGCTGAACAAACAGCTGCTGGGCCAATAATTTGAAATTTGGTGAAGTCTCTATTCTTGAACTGCCACGGTGGCCTCTCATGCTGTCTTCTCATTTATTCTTCTTTTATCAAACTTGAATTCAAACGCTTTATTCCTATAGCACAGAAACAAGTCAAAAATAGTCAGATAAATAAATTTAAGACCTCAATAAAACCAGATTTGCAGAATTGTTAAACTTAAATCTGGAGCAGCTAACTGCTTCCTACTTCTTTTTTTTTTGTGTCCTTCCCCCCTTTTTACCCCAATGCTTGACTTGATAAAGCTGTATAACAGCCACAGTGTCTGGGAGACTATACTAAGGCACAGTGCTGCTTTGAGTTAAATGCTATTGTCAGCATGCTAAGATGCTAATATCCAACTGATAATGTTTACTCTGTTAGTATGCTAAGATTTTCTAATTAGCGCTAAACAGTATCAAAAGTTTTGCCGGTGTTTGGTCATAAAATTATTTTGAGAGAATTAGAAATTTTAACATTTTGACCTGATCATCACCAGAGTCAGGGCCAGACATCATCTCCACACATTTACGACAGACCACAAACACTGTAACAGTTCTGCTGAAATTATTTATGCAAGTAACATATCTTTTAGTTGCATTACTGTACACAAACACTGCTTCATTAAAAAAAAAAAAAAAACACACAGGGCCTTCAGTTTCAAGAATTAGTCATTTGCTCTTTGCAAAATTAAGGCTGCAGGCAAAAGTATTCATAAATATAATTTCTGGGGTGTTTGTTTTGTAACTGACATTTCCTCAGAGCTGTCGATCATCATGAAGCTCTGGTAGCTCTGAGTAACTCTAGGTACAGACAACAGTATACAGGTATTGATTTTCAATATTTCCATGCATGCACTGCTTTCCTACATAGCATGATAAAGTGTTAATGCAATTTCTTCATTTTCTAAAACACAGAATCAACTAAGGAAGGTATGTTTAGTACGTTTGTAATTATTTTAAAGACTAACCATGTCCCTTGCTCATGAACATATCTGTAATTTTGCAGAACCCTTTTTTCTTTCCGTTGTTCTCTCTTCCACCTGCTCTGTCCATTTTATTTCCACATTGCTCGGCCACGTGCACTCCACGCACTGACCGAACTGGACGGATGTGTACATGTACACACATGAGACGGGTAAATCATGTACATTTGATTTACCGGTCTCATTTTGCATTTTTAACACTGGGCTTATCTACAGTATCTATCTAATGTGGGTATCACACTGTGCCGGCTGTATCAACAGCAACATCAGTCCAAAATAACTGCAATCAGTGTCAGTGCCAAAACCCCAACCCCATCAGTCAGACCCTAATATACACACAGAGCTTCTGGTCATTGGTCACTGGTCATCTTCTGGAGTCCACTGTGTGTGTGGATAACATTACTTTTTATGGATTACAAACATTTCCCCCTTCCTGTGGGTCCATCACAGTTCGATTATCTGCTGTTGTTCCTCTTTTCCTCACAGCAGCCTTGATCCTGTGCTCAGACTGAATTATGTAACATGCTGCAGCCTAGATGGTGGCATCTGTGAAGTCTCGTCTGGAAAATCCTTTCTGAAAAACATAAAGACGCAGTACAAAAATATTCAGTGATTGGGTTAGACATTTACACTCAGCTTGTGCTGCCATCCACCATTTGCTACATGCTCTGTCCAAGCGGCGAGATAGTTACCTTTCTGATAGGGCTGCAACTAACGATTATTATTTTCATTTTCTATTAATCTGTCGATTATTTTCTAGATTGATCGATCAGTTGTTTGGTCACTAAAATTTCAGAACCCCAGACTACGTTGCTGAATTTAGATTATACCATACTTGGCTTCACAATTGCTGCAGCCTTCACATTTTCCCACAAACTAAACTTACTTTAAATTTAAGGGCCCTGTAACAGCCCTCCATATATCAATGCTATTCTTGTTTAATGACTTGTTTCAGCTTCTTCTTCTAATCTTTACGGCCCCAGTGTGTTTCCTGTAGCATTGCCCCCCAAGGTTGGGGTAAGGTCTTAGGTTATGGTTAGAGCTGGTTGGAGGTAGGGATAAGGTTGTGTTCAAGTAAAGGGGAAACGGAACACACACACACTACTAAACAGTGTTACATATACTGAACAAAATTATAAACGCAACACTTGTTTTTGCCCCCATTCATCATGAGCTGAACTCAAAGATCTAAGACTTTCTCTATGTACACAAAAGGCCTATTTCTCTCAAATATTGTTCACAAATGTGTCGAAATCTGTGTCAGTGAGCACTTCTCCTTTGTCAAGATAATCCATCCACCTCACAGGTGTGGCATATCAAGATGCTGATCAGACAGCATGGGGACTGACCAGGTGTGCCTTAGGCTGGCCATAATAAAAGGCAGTAAAATACTTGCACACTGCCGACATGTCAACGTAATTGTTGGGTAAAATTTATTCAGACTTATTTGGCCGAACACCAAAGTTGCTTTTGTTGCTATTGTTGGCCGATTAATTTTGGTTGCCGAACATTCGGTGCATCCCTACTGTTTAATCCATTGTCTTTTGGTATAACCTGCTACTTTTCAACCTATCAGGAGTCCTGTTTTTGTTCTTTTGTTGATATATTGTTAAAGTAAAAATATTGATATTGCAACAGAGTAAAAATCCTTTTTGTGCTTGAATTTCGTTTTGACTAAATGCCTTGTGCAACAACCCACACCCAAACTGGTCTGTCTTTTAGGTGAGAACATATTTTGTCCAAAGGTTGTCCGGAGGGTGGCTCTAGGGAAATGCTCACGGGTAGTTCAAAATGGAAAAGGATTCCCCCTCTGGGAACCACGAATAACAACAGCAAATTTCATGGCACTTTGTCCAGTAGTTTTCCAGATACTTTGCTTTGGAGCAGTTTGTTTGTACTGTGAAGACAGGGGTTTGTGTGAACTGCATGAGATTGGGTTGAGGACAGACACACACACAGACACAACAGGATATCTATAAAATGTAATAACTTCACCATGGCTACCCCTAGTCACATAAACACATGGCTTTTGTTTGCTGTGTCAGGTTCAGTTTGGCCAGTGCGTGTGTGTGTGCATGTGTGTGTGCGTGTGTGTGTGCGTGTGTGTGGTGATGGGGGAGGGATTATGCGGAAGGAACACAACAGT